GGAATCCACTGCATCACTTTTCTGATGTTGTATGAGGTAATAAGCTGATCAGCATCCAGGATTATCTTGGCTATGTCAGTTCTGCAGCGTTCACTGCCCTCCAGAGCTTGAAGGGCAGACACTGAATCGGTGAAGATGACAATATTTTGGACCTTTGAAGGGTAAACATCCATTACAGTCTTTAGGTGGTATACTGCTGTTTCCAGTGCAATTATTTCAGCTTCCTAATTTGAACAGAATTCCCCGCATGCATCAAAAATCTCTTCAACAGATCCATCGGGATAACCTATGTAGATTCCGTAACCTGCTTTAATGGTAGCTTTAAATGCTGATCCATCAGTATAGACATGTATCCATTCTTGGGGGTAAGAATCAACGGTCTTTAGTGATGAGTTCATAAGAGCGATTGGGTTGGACTGTTTGGTTTCCTCGCCTACCAATTTAATTCGGACTTCTGGAGCTTTAAAGCGAGCATGTGGTGGTAGGTTTCTTGCAACATTCTGAATTCCTTGACGTCTTTCTGGGAGGTGGTATCTGTACTGAATTTCATTAACACAGTGTAAAACCGATTTGTGCTTTATGCTTTCTTTGTATTCCCTGTTTTCTACAAGATGTCTATTAGGATGGTTACGATTTTTTCTAACGCATCTTTCATAAATTTCTAAAGTGGCTTTTTCTCTCCGCAACCCGAGGGGTTCCACATTTGTATGGATTTCACATGCAGCAGTTGGTGTAGAAAGCATAGCTCTGCAGATTAATCGGAGGGCATTATTTTGTACTCTGTCAAGAGTCTCTAGGTTAGTTTTGGAGCAAGTTGTAAGCAGTGAGTTGTTGTACTCTATCACAGAGCGAACATATCCTAGATATAAGCCCCTCAGAGTTTCCTTGTCTGATCCCCATGATGTACCTGCAAGTCTCTTTAATAACTGTAACCGCCTCAATGCCTTATTCCTGACGTTTTCAATATGGTTCTTGAGGCTGAGCTGCCGGTCAAGTGTGACTCCAAGGTATGTGGGATGCTCTTCTTTCATCACTTGGTGTTTGTCTAACCTCAGGTTAATATTCTTCCTTGCTACTTGGTGGCTTTTGGTAAAGATTGTGTAGACCGTCTTTGCACAGTTAACCTTGAGTTTCCATCTTTGGCAGTACTCATGCAGTCTTCTTAGGTCTCCATTCAGTCTTTGGGCTCCACTTTCCACATTTTCATGACTCTGCCATATTGCTAGGTCATCAGCGTACAAGGCTTTTTCGGCCTTGATTTGTTCTGGCAGGTCATTGATAAAGATTAGGAACAGTGTACAGCTCAATGATGAGCCTTGTGGGAAGCCCTCCTCCAAGACTTCTTTAGAAGAGATTGCATTGTGCATCTTAGTCTGTATTGTTCTATCTATCAGGAAGTATTTATTATATTATATTATAAATTCAGAGGTCCCGGGTAGTTAGCGTCCTTTGGATCTTATTCTCTGAGATATGCAGGGGTTAGGAAATGAACAAGCAGACAGACTGGCTAGTTCTTCACCACAGTGTGGCAAATTGATTTATGGCAAACTTAATGTGGTCAAGGCCTCTTTGGCAGCAAGTGAACAAGCAGATAAGCAAAAATATCATTACAGTGTGGAGAAAATAGTACAACTAGAAGTGACTAAGGGATCTGCCCAACATTCTACACTCAAAGGAAAGGCAAGACACACAATTAATCTAACTGCTAGTGGCGCCAACAGAAGTGGAACTCTGCACTCACCCCTAAAGATGGCGACGGAGCACTTATGGAAATGTCCCACAGTCTATGACTTAGGTCTCAACTCAACTGCTGAATGAAAGAGACTAAGCACATATGAGTCTGCCCTGGATGCTGTCACACAGATTCTATGTCAGTTCTCCTAATAAATACACAATTAGGCATGCACAATCTAAAAATTACTATGTGAAACAAAGCACACGACTCCATTAAGCATTCTAAAAGTCAGTTTAATTCAAATATGTAATCAAACACTAAGAGCACACTGTAATCAAACACTAAGAGCACACTGAAATAATTCACGCATGGCATTCAAATATGGTTTTGTAAATTGTCTTCACTGAGATATATACACAGAAAATGAATGTCCATTCTCACGCTTAACAAAACTATTGTCTGTTCTTTTTCTAATGATGTAAGTTTTGTTCACAATAAATGTGACCACCCTAAATATTAATACAGTAAAGTAACTCACTACATCCCCTCAGAAACCCTTTCAAGTATAAATCTATGAACACAGGAATCCTTCCTGTCCCCTCTAAATTCTTTAAAACAAATACTCATTGATATACACTTTTTGGGGCAATATATGAAGGCGAGAGGGGTGGGGGGCAGGGGTCATCAATAAATATGAATGGGATTGGAGAAGTAAATTATTTCTTTCCCTTGGACCTGACAAAAAATGCATGTGATGACCCTTCATCCCAGCTGATAAAAGTAAAGGAATTATGACCTCACCATGTCACCCCCGCCTCCCCCCCCTTTTTTTTTCTGATTGCTATTTTTAGTCAAGATAATCATACCCCGTCCTCCGAAACATTAAACAGGCACAAACAAAACCAGTGCCATTAACTAGATCAACGGTTCTCTACCTGTGGGTCATAGCCCTTTTTTTGGTCGAATGACCCTTTCACAGAGGTCGCCAAAGACCACTGTAAACCATATATTCATTCATTAAAGTTATGAAGTAGCAACAAAAATAACTGTATAGTTGGGGGGTCACCACAACAACAGAAGCTGTATTTAAGGGTCGCAACATTGGGAAGGTCAAGAGCCACAGACCCAGATGGTTCAGGAACTGGTCAATGCAACAATGCTGGTTTAGGGACTTCTCTGTGATCAGTCTCAGACTTCGGTGTTGGATTAGGTGCTTTACAAGACCAAGCGACTGAATATGAATGTGAATATGTATGTTAAAGTTAGGACACAGCCCAAGCAAAAGCAGTATTTCACATGATAAAAGAATGTTCTGTGCAATACATCTTTGTTAATTAAGGTGAGTAAGTTCCTCTTCTTCTGCCTTTTATCCCCCAAAGGAATAACCCCCCCCCCCCCCCCCCCTACCCAATCAAACAACTCATGCCAAGTTGTTTTACCCTTTGCTATCACTAACCCCTGCAGCTCTCCTTATCTTTAACTCCTCTCTAATTCAATTCTCCAGGTGATTTTTTGGTCTGCCTCTATTTCTACAAGTTCTGCAACAAGACTAAAGTCTAAAGGTGAATGAACAACCAAATCTTTCTGCCAGAGTTTAAAAAGCCGGTGACCATGAAGAAGAAGAAGAAAGAAAGAGAAAGGGCTATGAAACTGTGATCTCCCGAGCGTGAACAGAATGGGCTATGAAAATGTGATCTTCCAGGCATGTATGGAATGAGCTATAAAAATGTGATTTATCTAGTGTTCTGTACATCAGGTAGTGGAAAAAGAACACACTCTGTACAAAACTGGCAAAGTTAATAATACTGTTGGTGCTGGATAAATGCTACGACCATCATAAAAACTCAGTGGAAAAACTGTTGACTAAAACACGGTGATCTGGTGATAGATTTGATCGGTGTAAACAAAAACAAACAACAAACACTTAATTGCATTATAATGACTGACTAAATGCAAACAGGTAACAAATACTTGTGTAGTATATTCGTATTATTTTCTGCTTTCAGTTTCGCATGCTCATGTCAGAGCATCAGGTGGGCTGGCTCTGTGAATTTGTAAGTCAGTTGCGGTTCCATTTTGCTGACTGTTCTTGAACCCAGTCTTCTCTTCGTAGTTTAAGAATAATGATGGTAGTTGATCAGCACTTATATACTGTATACCTCATCTGGACTGCTCAGTGTTACACTGCTTGTCTTCCACATTTAGAGCATGAGATTTCAGGACCTGTGTTGCCACTGCGTGTATTTATGTGCTTCTGCTGAGACTCTCAGCTCTGACCGGTCTGCAAAATCATCATCGATCAGCAGGTACTTGTCCCGCAACATCACTCTTGTCACGGCACATCCAAACGTCTCTGTCTCTAGCCAATTATTTAACCCTGTGTGCTTTCATAACCAATGTATCTTCATTTTTTTATATCACCATTCGCGGAGGACTGCCTCATTTTCCAGAAACCACCCTCCATCAATATTCTCTCCCTCCCGTGTGGGTTCCGGGGCCCCATTGTGAAGAAAACAAGAATAGACCCACTGCCTCCCCAAAAGCATGTCATAAGAGTCGACTAATTGGGGAGCTTCCTTTGAAGTCGGAGTGCATCTGCCAGAGAGGCAAGGAACCAACAGTCTGTATTCAAGAGAATGAGATATGTAAAACTGATGCACACGCAACACTCAGGTTCTGGAGCAGGACTGCAGTTCAGTAGTGGACGAGCAACCAGAACCTTCCGCCAGAGTTTACAGCTGGTGAACGCGATGAAGAAGAAGAAGAATGTTCTCTCCAGGCCACCATGACACTTCACATGGCCAAAACACCTCTGCTTTTAGGAAAGGATGATGTTTATGAGCCAATTCTCTTCACTGTTCAGCTCATGCAGGGTGTTTATTCTTTCTTTCTTTGTCCATAATAAAGAATTCTTCTGTAGCATAACATTTCAAAAGGCACATTTTGTTTCTTCTTCACTGACTGTGTCTGTAATAATTTGTTTCTTATTATATCCCTATACCCTTGTTGCTTTTCCCCCTCCAGTTAACATGGCGAATTTCACACCAATAAACATCAATTTTTGTTTCTAAGTAATACATTTCATAAGTAACTCTCACCTCCCTACAACAACTATGGCTTCTTCACCTTCTTCTTCTCACGTTTGCTTGAAATAAACTGTCTCTATGTGCATTCTGACCGTTGTACTAAGTAATGATATGGTTTACAATAATATTCACAAAGACACAGCAGAGAAACCAAAAAAATGCAATCAAACACAAAGTAAAACAGAATATCAAAACACAACCAGGTCCATGCTGCATGTGGCCAGGAGTTTCTGCGGGAGTCAACCATTCATCACCAGTCTGATAAACTCTGAAAGAAAACAGAAAACTGGCCAGTCAGTATGTCACTATATTCAAGACCTGTATATTTGTATGTCACTATGTTCATGACATGTATATTTTTATGTCACTATGTTCATGACATGTATATTTATAATCTTCTTCTTCTTCGCGATCACTGGCTGTAAACTCCGACGGAAAGTTCTGGTTGTTCTCCACTTCTGAACTCCACTCCTATTCCAGAAACTGAGTGTTTTGTGCACATCCCTTTCACAGGTCTGACTCATCTGTAAGCAGACTGTTGGTTCCTTGCCTCTCAGACAGATGCACTCCGTCTTCGCATGAAGCTCCCAATTAGTCAACTCTTACGACATGCTTATGGGTAGGCAGTGGGTCTATTCTTGTTTTCCCCATAATCCCGCCCACATGGGGATATATATATATATATATATATATATATATATGTCACTATATTCATGAATTGTAAATTAAACAAAGATGACCTTATCGCTAATTTTATTTCAATCAAGTTATGGAAACATTTATACTGCACAAGGGAGATATTCTGAAGACCATATATGAACGAACGTTGAGAGAAGACACAAGATTAGATGAAATAACATGTACAAGAATGTGTGAACGAGGAATCAAATGTGGATCTGGCGTGTGTATAATTAGTGTGCCATGGGAACAGTTAGCATCTACACCTTAAGACTTTTGCTGCATGAGACGGAGCCTCTAGGGGTATGCCCAGTGTGCTATGAAGTCGATTCTTAAACCAGTAATCAGTAAACCTATAATGAAAGCTTCAAGAGAGCACCTGTTGAAATGGAATGCGACAAGATAAGTTTCTGTCAAACAAAAAAATAACCCGAAACTAGGGGTGTTTCCTTGGAAGTCAGAATGCATCTTGCCGACAGACAAGGAAGAAACAGTGTGCGTACAAACAAGCCAGATCTGTAGAATGGATGTGCATGCAAAATTCAAGTTCTGGAACATGATTAAAGTCCAGAAGTGGATGAACAACCATAACTTTCTGACAGAGTTTACAGCTGGTGAATGTGAAGAAGTATAACTGAAACAAATCAACATAAATAAAATTGGAAAGTCAAAGTCAATATGTGGAGCTGACCTTCGTACTGAATGTTTCCCTGGCTATCTTCCTGTCCGGACAGCAACTGGTCAACCTCTTCCTCTGTCAACTTCTCACCTGTAAAATGTCCAGGAAATCACATCAGTAAACATGGCTGGACAGATATGAACAGTCGAATCATGTAGATTTAGTATTTCTATATCAAATGGGATCTATCCCCTTATTTGACATATTTTCTGTCGCCAACATGTAAGGGAAAAAAATATACCCATCTCTGAGGTATAGAGCTATCTGAATGTTGGTCGGATGTGTGAGTGTGTGTGTGCATGCATGTGACTTATCTGTGTGAAAAGACTTTCTCAGCAATGTTACTAATAAAAATCAGGGAGAAATTGAATGGATATTACTGCAGTGCTGTGTCTATCAGAAACAACGCTCCAACCATAAACATCAGATTTTATAACGTCTAAGCTGCGGCTGAGAACCGAAAGTCTGTGACATCTTATTCAGCAAATAACTGCTTTCTATATTTGCTTCTGTTTCTGTGAGCCGTATTACAACAACCCCCCCCCCCCCCCCCCCCTTCATTGGCCACGTGTGTAAAATGTTTTAGCAACATTGGCTTACCACACTATATCAGCGATTCCTGTAGCTAAAAATATTACATCAGCGGCTACTGGCTAGCAAGCACTACAACACTTATGTCTAGAAATCTGTAGCTTGCAGGAGACTCCGCAACAACCTATTTATTAAATCGCACACATGTATTACCTAACGAGGTCAGGATATGCCTGAGTTCTGCAGAGGCTATGGTGCCATTCTGATCTTTGTCGAACACCCTGAACCCTTCGACAAAGTCCTCCATGGAAGGCAGGATGCGGTTCTTGCTGATCGTCTGCAGGATGGGGAAAAATGTCTCAAAGGAAATGCGAGCATCTGAAATTAGAGAAAATAGTACAGTAAGTTGTCACAGAACAGTAAGTTGTCACAGTACAATAAGTTGTCACAGTTCAATAAGTTGTCACAGTACAGTAAGTTGTCACAGTACAATAAGCCGTCAGTCTCCACCAGCCCCTAAAATTAACAAACATTGTGCAGGCTCTAAAATGGAGGTCACTTGCAATGTATCCACTGCTTACTATGTGAACATTACATCAAAAGGACCACCTAATCTCTTCCACAGTGCGACTCTAATACCACTACATGAGAGCCAGAGAAATTGTTTTAAACGACCTACCAAGGGAATCAAATCCTGGTAAACATTGAGGATTGCACTATGAAACCATTTCACTGACTTCTAAGCCACAAAAGGAGTTGCTGATAATTCTTCTATCCCACACTGTATTTTAAAAAAAGAATCTCTGAGTCATAATGGGTTTTTTTTTTTTAAAGTTATGAGACTGAAAGATATAAAGTAACATTAGGGGTTAGAATTAGTTTATGCAACATAGTAATGAGACAGGAGGACTGTTAAAATATATATCATATTCTGGTTAATCAAGAAACTCACAGATGAGATGGATTGGCCATCTGACAATGCCCTGGTACCAACTGCCACAGGGCACCATGCTGAAGAAATATAAAAGGCACGGAGCAAAGGGAAAAACACAGAACAATAGCATCCAGAACAGCCTTCAAGAAATGAAGATCAACTTACACAAAACAATATTACCATGTGTGTTCCAGAGCTTTACTTTGTTTAGAACTACAGAACCACTGCCCCCCCCCCCCCCTAACAAGCATGCCATAGGAAGCGATCAATTAGGGGCATTTCTTTCAAAGTCGGAGCGCACATGCCTGCGAGTCAAGGAACCAACAGTCTGCATACAAATAAGCCTGAACCGTAAAACTGGTGTGCATGCAAAACTAAAGGTCTGGATCTAGAGTCTAGAGTAGACAACAACTAACAACAACCAAAACCTTCCACCAGAATTTACAGCTGGTGAACACTAAGAAGAAGATATGAAACATCTGAAACAGCAACCACAGAAGATCACCCTAACACTTACATGGTAAGATTAAAACTTCATAACTTTTATGAGGTAACTGGAGGAGGGAAGAAGAAGAAGAAAAAAGAGAAAGGGTACTTTCTTTTTAGCTGACCCCAAATGATGTCACAGGACAGTCCATTATTTTAGAGTGTGGTCAGAGCAAGTTTTTCTGTGCTTTAGCAGGCTTCTTCCTAAGTCAAGGTTTTGGGGTGTTAACCTAACCCTAATCCTAACCAAAACTATGCACTTTATCTACCAACCCTTGAAATATTTTACTGTCCTGTAATCTGTGAATGTCCCTTGTTTGTGGTAGGTTATTAAGAAAGTATCAGAGAAACTTATGATAAGTTGCTTGGTATTTAAATTGTTTTTCAAAAATCAAGTTGCATGTTAAGAAATATGATATACTAAACTAATCGCATGATAAAAACAATCCCGATTATATGATATCAATAAGGAACAGATAAAACACCGGCTTTATGAACATGTGAATAAATCGCACAATAATAAGAACTCAAGAGACTAATCACAAAATGGGTTACCTGGGTTTTGAGAAAATCCACATTTCCTAATCTCCTGCTCTGTGGGATTCTGAGACAGTGCCCTCAACACATCTCCTAACTGGCAAGCTGCGATCTTCTCATCTCCACGTGTATCAAAGAGAGTAAAGGTCTCCTTAATTTCATTCAGCTCATCTTCACTAATTTTTGTCTGAAAGACAAAGTGGATAAAGTATTTTTTTTTAACAACTGTCTTCCTCGCTTTATTTACCAGTTTCAATTCAAACCTTTTGGCTCCCAAATGCTTCAAAATAAAAGTGGGCAGGTTCATGAACTACACAGGAATTCCCTGAAAAAACCTTTTATAAATCTATTACAAGGTCACTAATAAATGTTTAAAAACTTTATTTATGCACATTTTATAACTTTTCCGAGTGTTTATTACAGATATATAAAGGGATAATTAATAAATATCAACAGAGTGAAGCATTAAATGTAATACATTGCCCAAGGTCTGAAAAAAAAGTATGTATCAGGTGACTCATGACATGACCCTGTGACCTCTATCACTTAGGTTTAGGGAAAAATTTGATGTCAACATGACTTTTAATAAACCACTGGGTCATGAGTAACACCTCCCACCCATTTGCTATTTTTAGATACTATTTTCATATCCTGGCCTATTAAATATTGCGCAGGCGCACACAAGACCAACAGAATTTAACTATGCTTTTCAAAAACAGGTCACTGGAGACAAGACCATATAGGTATTTACAGTACTGTGTCACAACCTGAACTGACTCAGGGGACTGAGTTAAGTAAGTCGGGGTCATGAGCCTGAGGATTTAATTCCACATAGCTAGTGCAGTCGCTACAAACTGCAGAGTGCAGAGGTTAGAATTTGTATTTGTGCCTCCGACAGAAAAAATCTTCATCCCTTACCGAGGGCTGAACACAGGTCTCCTGCATGACAGCTCAGCGCTCTATCCATTCTGCTAGTCATTCTTCGGCTATCCTCCTAATAATGGTCCCAAATTATCGAGGCCGAAAATATACCCTAACAGGGTCTCATTCACATGTACATTGCGGACTTCCAGCGACTACTGCCAAAGCCAAGAGTATCTCCCACGCCGCACATAGCAGCGTGGAGCGGGGCTAAACTAGATGGCTGGGACTCAAGAGCAAATATTAAATAAAATTAAGGAAGCTGCAGGAGATGCGGTAGCTGCTGCTCCCGAGTCCCAGCCATCTAGTTTAGCCCCCGAGATACTCTCGGCGGTGGCGGTAGTCGCCGGAAGTGCGCAGTTTACATGTGACTGGGGACTTGTTAGGGCAATATTACTATATTTTCGGCCTCGATAATTTGGGACCGTTATTCGGAAGATAGCCCCTACTTCTTTGGCAAACACTGAGACTAGCGACTACAGTTTCGGAAATTTGCGATCTTTTTGACAATTTTCGTTACCATGGAAACCGTTTGAAACTTGTTTAGGAAATGTCGACTGGGGTTTCGGGATGGGTCCTAATCTCTCATAAAATTTTGCCTTTGGTGTGATTTTCACCCACTATAAATAGCTGAAAACGGCGGGAAGGAACCCGATTAACAGCGCATGTCTACGACAGCCGGACGTCCTCTGTTTTTCTGTTACATCAGTTTGATTGAAAATAGCGGTAAAGGTTGGCTTTGGCCTTAAACATTACCAGACATGGTAATGCTAGTTATAATTGAATTCTCCGTCCAATTTTACATTTGTGTATAAAAGTTCTTTCTTGTCCGTGGCTGTTTAGATTTACAGTGAAATTTTTTCAGGCAATCGCTATTATGTGGCTGTGTCTCATTCGTCATTGGCTGCCATCTTGTCCAATGACAGTCCAATGTAAACAAAGCCAAAACGAAAGTTGCGCAGTTTGGTTGCGCAGAGAAAACTTCTTGTTTCTGGGAGACAAGTTTTAGCAGCTGTTTTTTTCACATCTCATCTCCACAAAAACCTACATATCTCAGCTCAGAAATGACATAGAAGCCTAAATGAGGTACCGTTGGAAATAGATTGCTTACAGCTATCTAACTGTGCTGGTTTTATTGGTGTAGAGGGCATTTGGAAAATTTGACTAAAGTACTAAAGTACCTTACTGAGACAAAAGCGAAAAAAATGTGCGTCTTTATAAATAGTAAATACGTATATTTTTCAAAGAATGAAAAAGAAATATGTGATACGAGGTAGCACACATATGAGAAACATACCACCATGATGACAGCAGAATGCGCAAACAGAAGCAGCTTTCTCTGAAAGTGAAACAACAACAAAATGTCAAACTCCCTTGTTTGACTGTCTCAGCGATGAGGTCAGAGGTAGGCTGGTTTCCGGTGTGTGTAGGCGTGCCGGGATTGTTGTTTCAGCAAAATATGGATTTGTGTAAATTAACGGCTCAAAACACTGCAAAGTGTACAAAATTCCTATCTATATACTTTTTATGTTATCATCAGTTCGTTATCATTATTTGCCACTTCTGCGTTAACCGTCGTGGATAGGAACAGTTTGCTATACACTGCTTGATGACCATGTTCATTTAGCAGTTCTTTAATGTCCTCAATCCATATTTGCTTCTTTTTACGATGTCCGGCCCAAATACACACTGGTTGACCTTTTATTCATGCTTGTTCAGGCTAGTTTTTGTATGTATGTATGTATGTATGTATGTATGTATGTATGTATGTATGTATGTATGTATGTATGTATGTATGTATGTATGTATGTATGTATGTATGTATGTATGTATGTATGTATGTATGTATGTATGTATGTATGTATGTATGTATGTATGTATGTATGTATGTATGTATGTATGTATGTATGTATGTATGTATGTATGTATGTATGTATGTATGTATGTATGTATGTATGTATGTATGTATGTATGTATGTATGTATGTATGTATGTATGTATGTATGTATGTATGTGTGTGTGTGTGTGTGTGTGTGTGTGTGTGTGTGTGTGTGTGTGTGTATGTATGTATGTATGTATGTATGTATGTATGTATGTATGTGTGTGTGTATGTATGTATGTATGTATGTATGTATGTATGTATGTATGTATGTATGTATGTATGTATGTATGTATGTATGTATGTATGTATGTATGTATGTATGTATGTATGTATGTATGTATGTATGTATGTATGTATGTATGTATGTATGTATGTGTATGTGTGTGTTTGTGTGTGTGTGTGTGTATGTATGTGTGTGTGTGTATGCATGTATCAAAATTATTGATGCCCTTTCATTCACGTATATTTCCTTGAATATACATTACATACTAATAATAATATACATACAAGAGAGAGAGGAAGGTCTAAAGTTTCAAAATACTACCACCAGAGCGCAGTTGCGTAACTAACCACTTGTGTGCGTATGCTCATGCCACCAAGGACCATTTAGTTCATTTCCGTGTGTAGGATGAGTTCGGCTACGGCTCAGATGTTTGCCGGGCAGCAGACGGTAGCCATATTGAACATTTACAACCTTTATTTTACGTTTGTCCATTTGTTTCCCTTTTTAGGACCTGTTTTTTTTATATCAGGGGGTTGTGTTAGGGCCAGTCTTGTGTGTTTTTGGAGTGTTAAAAGAGCGAACGCGCTGAAATATACAACACGCGATATCAACAGTATTGTACATTCCAGCATGTTAGCACTTTTAGCGTTCCAAAAACATGCAGAACTAGCTCTAACACAACCTAGCCTCCCCCCTCCCCTCCCCCACCCCCAACGAGAGTGCTGCAACCTACGTCACACGCATTCTCTTTCTCTGAATTAAAACGTAAATGGAAGGCAATGCAAAAAGCTTTTCTAGCAAACAGTACACTGGGACACTCCCGTAACCTTCAGCAAAGTTGACGAGTCTGACTCTCCATGCCAGCTAGTACCGATTAGTCTATTTAAAAAAATGTCTAGCCATTTATGCCTAATCAAAAGTGACCTAGTGTACAAAATAGTCGGAGTTAACAGACATTGGGGAGATTTTCGTAATATTTACCATGAATGTATTCACCGATATATTTAATTTTTTAATAACTTGGTGGGGTCCCCCGAGTTAATTACCTAGCAGGCCCAGGCGTTAAGCTAACCGCTTAAATTTTTTTTTCTTGCCACACTTTCTCATTCTTCTTTTTTTCCCTTTCGTTGTTTCAATTAGCATTACTATAGTTTATTCATTTGGAATCCCTGAACAAGGCAGATCTTAAGATGTATCTTCACGGGGTGCCACTTCTGCCGACTTGTTCGGCCGTTGATTCTTCTGCAGGTGTCATTCAGGCCCGGTAATGCGACAATGATTGAGAACAAAGCTGGGAAAGGCGGGGCTTACGAAGCAGTTTGGCACTGTTTTATTGGAGTTAATCAGATAAGGTTCTGGTAGTTAAACCGCCTTCTCCAGAAATAGAGTCGGTAGTTCCAACTTTACAGTAGACGGGTGATTTGCATAATCTGTTTGTTGACGCATCTGTCAGATGTTTAAACGGTAACCTGTGTTGGTCATTTGCTCGAAAGAATGGGGAGGGGGGAACTAGGCAACTAACTAACTAACTAACTAACTAACTAACTAACTAACTAACTAACTAACTAACTAACTAACTAACTAACTAACTAACTAACTAACTAACTAACTAACTAACTAACTAACTAACTAACTAACTAACTAACTAACTAACTAACTAACTAACTAACTATCTAACCAACAAACTGACTGACTGACTGACTGACTGACTGACTAACCAACCAACCAACTAACTAACTAACATTATAATTATTATCATCATAACCTTAAACTATAATTATGCCAAAAGAGTAGAAGTGTTAGATACCAGTCGGCACACGTGACTGGTGTGGTCATGAGTACGCATATCGCCTTCAGTTATATTATTCTCATTGTACATCTAACCATAAGTGCTCGGGTCCCCTCCTCAGTCAATCCCGCAGCGTGTAGCGTCTCACAACATCAGTTCTTTGATAGCTTCTTATTCTTCTTTGGCTTTCTGCATAGTGCTCTTGCCTGGCCACAGACCCTTTAACATGCTGTTCTTGCAGTCTGGGCTTGGTTGCAGATTCATTAGTCAATTGGTTCTCGCAAAGGTCTTACTTCTCGTAGAGCATTCAGTATATGTCTGACACATTACCACCTTTACCTCCAATGATATTTCCAGGTCCTCGGTTTAGCTGGGTGAAAATAGGAGCTCAGATTAATTGCTTTAAAACAATCGCTTAGTTAGATGGTATAGATTTGCAGCAATTGAGAGAGAGAGACAGAGAGAGAGAGAGAGAGAGAGAGAGAGAGAGAGAGAGAGAGAGAGAGGGAATCAGAGAGAGAGGGAGAGAGAAACATAGAGACAGAGACAGAGACACAGAGAGAGAGAGAGAGAGAGAGAGAGAGAGAGAGAGAGAGAGAGAGAGAGAGAGAAGAAAAGTAATTTAGCGAAATAATGAAAATACACTAAGAAAACTGACATACAAACAATTCGACGAAATAAACAGTGTGTGCAATTTAATAATTACTTTATTCATCAAGGAAGACACAACTTATTCCAAGAGGTAGCCCTGCTCTCTAGCGTAGTTGGCTAAACCGGATTGCGCGGAGACCGAGTGACGAACTCCTTGTGATCCGGGTTCAATCCCGGGGGTAGGCAGGAAAGCCACATTTTCTTCCAGATTTACGGTATTTACAATGGAATCAAGGCCGAAAGGTTGCGATATCCATAATACCGAGCCTAGGGGTTAACAAATCATGACTTCTGGATACTAAAACAAACAATCCAAAGAGGTAGACATGAACGCCCTAAGGAAACCGCATAATCACAAGCGACTGTTCGTGTAAGAACAATCGTCACAGCACCTTCTCGATGACTTTGGTTTCTGTGTTGCTGTGGCTGTTTAACTTGATCTCTTCCACTAAAGTTACGCACCGTGTCATATCCAGAAGCAAAATGCTGCCCAAAATCACACATATGAAGGCGACGCCTGCGTAGCCAACGAACGACACTGATGGTCGGGTGTCCTCGTAGCTGATCTTTCTCCTCACTGTTGCCGACAGCTTCTGTGGAAGTACTACTGCTTTTAATGGCATTGGAAATAGTAAGTAAAGTAAAGGACCTTTTTTCAGGCCTTCAGGCGTATTGGGCATATAGGGCTAGACCTATATTTTATAAACCAATCGGTACTTGGTGGGTGATGTGGTCAACATCATATCAGCCGCTTTTACTTCCCAGGACTGCACCTGGTACCCACTCAAGGCTGGGTCGATCTGGGAGCCAAGGCCATTTTTAAAAGAAAAGTCTGGTTCCCTCAGGACCCGAACCCACGACCTTCTGATCCACATGCAAGCGTCTAACTGCTACACCATGCTGACCTCCCACATTGGACATGGATGTATTTTTAATGACTGTTGGAAAAGTAAAGATCCTGTTTCATGCCTTTAAAGCGCATGGGGCATAAGGGAAGAGCTCCCATATTTTTACAGACCAATCGGCACTAGGTGAGTAATGTGGTCAGCATTATATCGGCAGTCTTTACTTCCCCAGGACACACATCCTGGTACCGATTTTAGGCTGGGTCGACCTGCGACGCCCCATACAATGATTACAACCCACGCAACACGCAGTGGGTTTCGTTCGCGGTGCATTGTTTAATGGCTGTTTTTTTTTTTTTTTTTGAAAAATATTGACGGGCCATGCTCCTTGCGTTGGTTTCGACAGTGGTATCAAGAAAGCCGACCGTCCAGGAAGCAATGGCAAACTACTGGACGTAAATTTGCCTAGAAAAGCACACAACAGCCAGGGGCTGTTTGGGTTGGTTCTGCAACGTCCTGTAAAGGATACGCAACTAACCTAGATACTGCTATAGTGTGTCTTATTTTGAGTACTGTTTTCCACGTTGAATGTCTATTGACAATCGATTCTACTGGTTAACTTGCAAACAGTATTAGGATAAGGTACTTGAGTATCAGCAGATGGCATTCTAAATTGTTGAAGAACCACATGCGAATAACTACAATTAGTCAATAATAAAAACAGAGCATGAACAAAAAATGTGGGGAGGGGGGAGAGATAAGTGACCGATTAGATATAAAAAACGAAAATCAATATTGAAAATCAACAGCTTTGGCTGTTCATTAACTTGGGAAGTTTGATACATTAAATGGAACAATCAACTCAGAGATCAAAGATCGATGACAACAAAGCCCATCAGGTCACTGACCTGGT